GGGCACGTGAGACAGGGCACCTGGGGGCACGGGACACGTGAGACAGGGCACCTGGGGGCACGGGCACGTGAGACAGGGCACCTGGGGGCACGGGACACGTGAGACAGGGCACCTGGGGGCACGGGCACGTGAGACAGGGCACCTGGGGGCACGGGACACGTGAGACAGGGCACCTGGGGGCACGGGCACGTGAGACAGGGCACCTGGGGGCACGGGACACGTGAGACAGGGCACCTGGGGGCACGGGCACGTGAGACAGGGCACCTGGGGGCACGGGACACGTGAGACAGGGCACCTGGGGGCACGGGCACGTGAGACAGGGCACCTGGGGGCACGGGACACGTGAGACAGGGCACCTGGGGGCACGGGCACGTGAGACAGGGCACCTGGGGGCACGGGACACGTGAGACAGGGCACCTGGGGGCACGGGCACGTGAGACAGGGCACCTGGGGGCACGGGACACGTGAGACAGGGCACCTGGGGGCACGGGCACGTGAGACAGGGCACCTGGGGGCACGGGACACGTGAGACAGGGCACCTGGGGGCACGGGCACGTGAGACAGGGCACCTGGGGGCACGGGACACGTGAGACAGGGCACCTGGGGGCACGGGCACGTGAGACAGGGCACCTGGGGGCACGGGACACGTGAGACAGGGCACCTGGGGGCACGGGCACGTGAGACAGGGCACCTGGGGGCGACATGCCATGTATAATTTGCTACAGCATCTGTGGGAAAATTTTATCTAATTCAAGGCTTCAATTTTCCGGGGTGACTTAAGATCCTCAATTAAATTTCAGATTCGAGACCATGTCTTAGCTCGGTTTAAATTAAAATTTTGTTCATTAATGGACCCAATATTGCAGTATCTAAATATTGCTGCAATATTGCAAGTTTTTACTCGTCATGAGACATCTAAATCTAACGACCCAATACTCCTTCTTTCTCTAAGCGTTTCATCGCCTTATTCATGAATAAATACACTTGTAATAACTTGATCGGGTTCTTCACCAAGTCAGTCTAAAAAGAGTTTTCGTCAGAGTATTAATGAAGACTTGTTCCCACAAGCATTTATTCAAATACTACACAGTTTATTCACAACACCATGGCTCTAAATAAACTTATATAGGTTGAAAATAGGTTGAAAACAACATACGGGACACGCATCTGAATAGGCAGGAGGCTAACTAACCCGTCGCACACACTACCGCCTTCGAGGTAACCTTCGGTCTTGACACTTCATTATGGAAAACCCGCTATTTTGTTAGAAATAGTCCTTACAACACTTATATTCATCGTACTCGTCTTAAAAAAAGAGCAGGCTAGTTTCTCTAAGCGTTTCATCGCAATATTCATAAATAAATATACTTATATTCATCTTATTCATCTTATAATAAGAGCAGGCTAGTTTCTCTAAGCGTTTCATTGCATTATTTCTAAATAAATAGCCTTATTCACAAATAGCCTTATTCCTAAATAAATAGCCTTATTCTTAAATACACAGCCTTATTCCTAAATAAATAGCCTTATTCTTAAATACACAGCCTTATTCCTAAATAAACAGCCTTATTCCTAAATAAATANGACATGCTCTGTCTGGACCCTGTGTACATTATACAAATTATACAGTGACATGCTTGTCTGTCTGGACCCTGTGTACATTATACAAATTATACAGTGATATGCTCTGTCTGGACCCTGTATACATCATACAAATTATACAGTGACATGTAGACTCAATATAACGCCTAATAAGAAGCAACGAACTTAATACATCAACTGCTTTCTAGCGAAAAAAAAGTCGTTTTCCTAAGACCTAATTTTTAACGAACGGCGAAGCTAAAATTTTCTCAACAAAATTTCCATTCGATGATATCAACAACATAGGGACATCTTTGAAGTTAACCTGTCGTAATTTTTCATGCTTATCGTCAAGAGTTGTTAAAACAACGAAAAGAACATCCATTTTACCGCGATAATTCAAAGTAGGTACTCACTGAACCATGTACTTTATTGTATTGTACTATTGTACTCTTATTATTGTAGATCCTTCAATACAATTCAGTTAAGAAGGTTAAGTCTAACCTAGTGATGACATGGTGCCACCTGCGTGGCAAGCTCCAGCTGTGGTGGCAGCTGAGGAGTTACGTCGACTGCCACCACCAAAAGACCGCGACCTGACGAGCTGCTGGCAGGCCATGGAGCTCCCGAAGGAGACGTGGCAGCGGCCGCGGCAGCCCGAGCATGGGGCGCGGTCAGGGTCTGGGGCGCGGTCTGGGTCTGGGGCGCGGTCTGGGTCTGGGGTGCGGTCTGGGTCTGGGGCGCCTGTAACGCAACACTGCAGGTACAGTTTTGTGTGCAGCTTACGCTTGTAATGATCTAATTTAGACAAAATCGTAAGATAATATTGTAGCCTAAATGACTCCAAAAACCAAATTATGCATTTCATGGAAAAATATACTTCATTTTTTACAAGCATTTCCTACATGAACTTTTTAGTTTTCCAGCGCACTCAACAGAGAACGTGAACTTGAAAAATAAAGCAAGCCAACTTTTAGCCATGTCAGCACACTCAAACTAGCTCAACCGCTCACCAAAAACAGCTAAAAAGTCCTGCAGTCTACTCAACCTCATTCCTAGAAACGCCTAACAGGCAAGTCTATTAAACCCTTTACCAAGAACCCAAACAATCTACCCAACTGACAACATGTCCAGTCTACTGAGCCCATTGCTTTTTCTATTCTACTCAACTGGCAACATGTCTAGTCTACTTGGCCCAGTGCCTACTCTATTCTAACCAACTGACAACATGTCTAGTCTACTTGGTCCCAGTAGTCATCTACTCTATTCAACTCTCTAGTCATCTACTCTATTCTACCCAACTGACAACATGTCTAGTCTACTTGGCCCCAGTGATCATCTAATCTATTAGGCTCTCTGGTCATCTACTCTATTTGACTCTCTAGTCATCTACTGTATTCTACCCAACCCAACAGTCCCCGCCAGCAAGTGACCTAATCCTTCAACAGGACGCGCGAGAAGCTCACCGAGGTCGTCGTCAGGACTCCAGCACCCGTTAGGAGAGGAGGCGTCGCTGCTGCTGGGGATGAAGGGGGACGGTGGGTGGGGTTCCTGCAGCAGTAGCTCCTCTAGTGAGGGGGAGGAGGGCAGCGGGCAACCCACTTCCCATAGTTCCACGCCCAGCCTCGACTGCAACAAACGCTACACTTAGCAACAAGCGCTGCAAACGCAATAAACGCTACACTTAGCAACAGACGCTGCAAACGCAACAGACGCTACACTTATAGCAACAGACGCTGCAAACGCAACAGACGCTACACTTATAGCAACAGACGCTGCAAACACGAACCTGAATTATTTATTGTGAGAAGGGTTGTTTCTCGCGATCAATCTGTGAGTCGCGTGTAGTTCTAACTTGATACAAAAGTGAAAATTAAATTTCGATACGATCAAGAATACATATAACCTACATCAAGATTTTACAAAATGCAATACGGTGGCTTCGTGTGCGACACTGTTAATGAACCTCACAAACTGACTTGAATGCAACTTGAAGTGAATGTAAGTAGTGATGACAAACAAAGTAATCAAGATTCTCGTATGAATGAAAGTTAAAAGAGCAGGTAAGCGGTCGAAGCTTATCTCTTACTCTCTCCACTATATCGTACACAAAGCTGATGAAGACGAACCCGTGCATTAATAATAAATCAAACTTCGGACTTGAATTAATAAAATGTAAGAATGAATAAAAGGCACCACCCACCTAGTAAGACATACAGCAAACATTATCGTACCGTACACAAAACTGGAAACGAACCTTCGTTTTAACAATTGATCATACTTCGGACTTGAATTAGTAAAATGAATTAATGAATAATAGGCACCACCCACCTAGTAAGACATACAGCAAACATTATCGTACCGTACACAAAACTGGAAACGAACCTTCGTTCTAACAATTAATCAAACTTCGGACTTGAATTAATAAAATGTAAGAATGAATAATAGGCCCCACCCACTAGTAAGACATACAGCAAGCAATTATCAGTCCAAGGTTTTATTGTCAGCAACTGACGTTCAGCTCGCAACTCCTTGCACCGTGATACGCATGCGAATGTACATAACATAACATAACATAACATAACATAACATAATATAACATAATATAACATAACATAACATAACATAGTGATGTCGGCGCTGAAGTGTAGGCCTGACGTGGCCTGTCGCCGATTCTTTTCCTTTTCGTGCCTTGTTCATAGATCTAAACTCGTGTCATTTGACCGGATCTTTTCATGACTGACGGAGATACCGTCATGACATACCGTACGTAGCAAAACCTGTATAGATACAAGGTCGTCCCGCCGCAATAATGACGAATTGTCACAACTGGATGCTTCCTCATTCAACAGTACAATGGGAAAAACATTCCATTCATTTCGAACTGCCCCGAGTTCATTCCATGCAATCTTGGAGAACGCATCGAAAACTTGCAGTAATTTCATAAGGTTTGTAGTGCTGAGTAATGTAAGTTTTACTTTGAACAACCCATATTTCGTGTATGGGCTTGATGTTGAAATGAAGACAAAGGAGTTCACAATACATCAAAGGCACGCATAGAGAGGGCAGCCCTAGATACTATATAAGGATTCATTCTTTTTCACATGTGATTATATCTACGTACAGTCTATATATCTTCTGAGTTCTGAATTGAATTTACTTAATCTGTTATAAGAATCTATCTACATTCTACACGTACCATCTTTTACGCACTCTCTGCAAGATCCTACAGTAAAGATTATGAATTGCATTATTGACAAGGATTGATTAGATTAGGTCTGTGACTAATAGACTGGGCATTGAAATTGAACAGGTTAAAATCAGGCGCTCGAGCAAGTCTTGAACAGCTCTGATAATTACAGAAAATGAATCCGCAGCCAGCTCGACTTTCTTGCCTTCACACCGCTATACTTATCCGTCGAGCCTCAAGTCCGGCCGCTTGAGGACGAGTCTTTGAGCATCAAGTGTGGTCTTTTAGAGACGAGGCCTCAAGCATCAAGTCTGGTCTGTTGAAGACATTGCCTCAAGCATCAAGTCTGGTCTGTTGAAGACAAGGCCTCAAGCATCAAGTCGGGTCTGTTGAAGACAAGGCCTCAAGCATCAAGTCGGGTCTGTTGAAGACAAGGCCACAAGCATCAAGTCCGGTCTGTTGAAGACAAGGCCACAAGCATCATCAAGCATCAAGTCTGGTCTGTTAAGAACGAGGCATCTAGCATCTAGTCGTGTATGTTGAAGACAAGGCCTCAAGCATCAAGTCTGGTCTGTTGAAGACAAGTCCTTAAGCATCAAGTCTGGTCTGTTGAAGACAAGGCCTCAAGCATCAAGTCTGGTCTGTTGGAGACTATGCCTCAAGCATCAAGTCTGGTCTGTTAAGAACGAGGCATCAAGCACTGAGTCTGATCTGTTGAGCCCAAGGCCTTCAAAGCGCAGAAATCGAATCTTTTTTAATGCTGAGCTGCGTATGTTAAACTCCAAGCAATATGCGCAGGCAGGAACTAAGTCAGATTCACACTCCTGATGAAACTTCAATCGTTTGATAGAAATTTAATACCTGCACTCAGACATTTAGAAACGGATAAATTGAAGGGGCTTCATGGTCGTGGCGATAATTTAAAATAACATTCTGCTATACCGGTACGTAAAAAATATACTTCCAGTTTACATGAAGATAATTTGTAACATTCATAAGCTGTTCACGAGATCTTGACATGGGTAGCGGCATTTCAGCACCAGAGATGCGCAGCATATTAAAAATATTTAAACTGGACCCAAGAAATAAAGTCCAATGAATAACGTTTGCCCTAAGCTCACGGCAGCTAATTATCGAGCCAATTAAAATAAGTGAAGAAAGCGAGACCTAGTCAATGGTATCCTCCTGTAGAAACAGCAAGCAGCTGCCGTCCATCATATTAGAAGAACGCATTTATCTATTTGTTAAAACCGAAATGAAAAACAAAGAGAGGATTTATGAGAACATACCATGAGTCACAGTAAAATTCAGCAATTTACGTCGCACACCATCCTAACTTTTGCGGTTATCAGCCTGAATAAAATAATAAATAAATAGCACAAGAATGTTCCAAGGGAAACTAGAGGCAATACGTACAAGGTTACTCACGAAGCTACACCACAAAACTCGGCCGCCGCTTTCTCCTAATGACGTTAACACAAAGCAGCCCAGCGTCGCTATTACTGAGACCGCAACATCAACACTTTTTGGTGCCGCTAGCAACTTAGCAACTCTTTGCACTAGAAAATCTTAGCTTTTGAATAGTTTCTAAATACGGTAATGTTCTAGGTTATATGTATTTTCAAATATGCCATACTTTTAAAAATTGCCGCTTGAGACGCAAGAGGTATCAGGTAATGACGAAGAATTTTTATAGCCGTTCATGGAAGTGTAAAATATTATCACTATAATCAAGTCTGACGCCATACATCTAACATACTTTTTCGAATAAAATATTTTCTGATTAATTTATAAGTATCTTTTCACCAACGAAATACATGTCTTGTTTACGAGATACGTTATACGTTGGCAACCAATTCAAAGCAAGGCCATTCCACACGTGCAAAGTTTGACGCATTTCAAGAGAACGTGGTATGAAAAGTGCAGCGTTTTGGTAATGTTTCCAACCCGCAGAACTAATCCTGTATTTTGAATTAGAAATAAATTGATCAGTTGTAGCGTCTATTCAGAAACTGAAGAGGCGGCAAGTCCCACGACCTATAATGAAATGACGATAGGGTGCATGCCAGATCACGTGTGAGTTGATTCAATTAAATTCGAATTTTCCGTGAGAGTAGAGACCCAATCCGGCTTCAGCCATGAATCTAGAAATCGAAGGAACACAGCAATTATCAAACAAACATTATAAATATTACGTGCAGAGAGTAGGCCGCTGCACACGCGCGATGACGTAAGGGACCCGACGCGAGCGTGTTTACCAAACGTGCCACTGACGAAGGGAACGCAAACATGTCGAGTCGCTGTGAGAACGAAACGCCCTAGCCACACGCAAGGAGTATTGCAATCATTCGCTGCAATTATATGGAATAAATACCAACGGTTTTGGCATGAATTCTAAATTAATAATTAAACTGAACTGGCGACGTGTTTGCAAAAAATGCAAACTAAAAAGAGCAGAGAGCACGAGCGAGCGTTAAGTACGAGCGAGCGCCGAGCTGAGCACGAACGAACTTGTGTACCAACACGAGTCAATAAGAATTAAGAAACAAATCGCTCGGATCAATTCTACACAAAACACACGTGAATGATGTAACTAATAGGAATTATAAGCTATTAACAAGCTAAACCGGACGCCATTGAGTGCGTTAATTAGAGTTACATGATTTTAACGCAGACTAAAGATAGCTTACGCACTTGGCAATATTAACAAGTGGTTAATGGTAACAGCGATTCGTGGTCCTATCTTTTGAACGCGAAAACGTCGTAAATGGAGGAATGACCAGTGGGAAGAAGTGTCAATTGTATGCCATGTTAATTATTTTCTTATAGATGACACAAAGAAATTTGCTGCAAGTTACCAACAACAACATGCGTCCAGGTGCATTTACATGTTCACAGCCATGTTCATAATTATATCATAATCATAAGGGCAGGGTGGCCCAGTGGTTAGGGGAAGGTGGCCCAGTGGTTACAGTTCAGAGTACCAAGATTGGCGCAGAGAGGCGCGGGTTCGATCCCAGCTCTGTGCGCCAGTTTCTGTGGTCAGAATCGGCAAGGAGGCCGGGCGGTTAAGCACAGCAGAATTGTAGCAGTGAGTTGCGAGTTCGAGACTCGCACCAAGCTGTGGATGTTCTGCGATGTTAAGAATCGGCGACAGGCCTACGGCCTAATAAACGCTGAAACCGCTATTATTATTATTATTATTATTATAATTAAGTGACTAGTGGACACTAGTGTTCTCGATTCATGTGTATGAAAGTAATTCTATAGTTTTATGACATTCGCAATAAGTACCGATATCTCAACTGCCAAGGAGAACAAGATTATTCGGATGACATTAGCATATATGACTTTTATCATTTCTTTAATTAGTTATTCTTTGAAGTTCCTGTTAACACATATCCAAGTAAGGAGAATAAAGGAAAGTCAGCTTCTTCCA